CATAGGACAGAAGAAGAGGGTGACCATAGTAGTTGAGAGGGAACAGGATCCAGGGGGCACTTGGTGAGACGGGCTTCTGAGAAAACCTTCAGTAGTAGTAAGGTCAAAAGAAGAAAGTGTTGAGGGAGGTTTAGTATAAGGTATGCTAAGTGGGATAGATATCTGTGTAGCGGAGATGCCCCTACGAATTGCATCGATCTTGTTTTTGAAATGATTTGTAATCTCGTAAGCAGTGAGTGAGCTACTGGGTCGAGGTGGAGAAAGTAAGAGAGTTAAAAGTAGAGAAGAGATGACGAGGACTGGATGACCAGGTATTAATTAGCGTGACAAAGTAGGCTTGTTTGGCAGCATGGAGGGAGGAATTGTATGTTATGAAAGCAGACTTATATAATAGGGTTAATGCTTGATGAGATTTGGTTCTAAACCACAATCGCTTCAGTGTACAACTATGTTGCTTAAGATTTTTGGTGTCGTCAGTCTGCCACAGTTGTAATGGTCGGGGCCTGGTACTTTGTGTAATTAGAGGAGCAAGTGAGTCTAGCGTGGATGAAAGCGAACTGTTGTAGACAGTAGTGGCCAGGGGAGAGATTTTGTCATAGAGGCGGTCAGTTGCAGAGTGGAAAAGAGAAGGGTTTGAGTTGTGAAGCTTTCTGCGAGTAATTGTTTGCTACTTGGAGGGATAGGTGTTTGAAGACGAGGACAATGTAAAGGTGATGAGATTGTGATCAGAGAGAGGAAAGGGGGTGTTTGTGAGGTTGTAGGGAGTGCAAAGATGGGAGAAAACAAGGTCTAATGTATTCCCATCAGAGTGAGTGGAGGACTGAATCTATTGTGTTAAGGCAAAAGATGAGGTTAGGTTGAAGAGTTGGGATGTAGCCGGGTTGCTCACATTAATGGGGATGTTGAAATCTCCCAAAAATGATAGTGGGTATTTCAGAGGAAAGAAAGTAGGGTAGCCAAGCAGAGAAGTCATCAAGAAAGCGGGACACCGGTCCAGGATGCTGGTAGATCACTGCAATCCTCAAAGAAATGGGGAGAAAACCGCCGAATACAGTGAGTCTCGAAAGAAGAGAATGATAGAGAGGGAGGGTTAGGGAGGACTTGAAAGGTGCTTAGTGGGGATAAAAGCAAACCAACTCCACCTCCTTTCCGACCGTTGAAAGAATAAGGTTTTTCGCTTACGTTCATTGAAAGACACAGCAGAGATTTTGATCTCTGATCATGAGATTATGGCATCACCTTCAGGAGTAGGACACTAGGCAGAAAAACAAAACAAAAGCACACTCTACGGGCAGCCCCAGATGGTGGCCAAACCCCCCATCTGCAAGAGGCAGCTCAGTTTTTTGCCTAGTGTCAAGGTGTAAAGACCTATGCTCCCTGCTGGGAATCTTAGTTCCCTCTTTTTGCAGAGAAATAATTTTGTTTTTAAATCTGTAGCTTTTATTAAAGTAATACCTGCTAATCCTGCAATGGAGGTCTTTGTTCTGGCACTTTCTGTTATAGGATAAGTGGCTGCCAGATGTTCTCATGCATTGTAACTCTGTCACATGCCCCCCTGGTGCCGCATTGACACCTGTCGTGCAGGCATGAACTATTGGTACCGCTGTCAGGAACCCGTAATGTGCAGCTGGCATTGGAGTGAGTGCATGTACACAGGTAGTGGCTGAAAATTAGTTGCAACAAAAGATGAAAAAGGTAAAAAATATAATACATTCCAATTGTGTGTGATACAGTGCTTTAGCAAACTAAATGCTATATTAAGGGTTTAGCTTTACTTAAAGAGAAAGTTCAGTCAGAGCTTAACCCTGCTCCCACCCCCATTCCAAGCCTATTCTAACTACGCTGTGAAAGGAAAGATGTCTGTACTTACCTATGCTGAGGGTGCTCCAGTCCAGTCACATGATCAGCTCCCAGCGGTGGCTTCAGTGAAGAGAAGGGACAGCCAACAATGGACGCTCCATTTTAAGCCTATGGGTGGCATCATCACACAAGCTCTGCAGTCATTGTTGGCGATCTCTCCTCTTCACTGAAGCCAGCCACTGGAGAGATCATGTGTCTGGGCCAGAGCACCTTCAGAATATTTATTTATTTTATTACAGGTACTTGTATAGCGTTGTCAGTTTACACAGCGCTCTACATATATATATTATACATTCACATCTCTAACCCTCAAGGGGCGTACAATATAAGGTCCCTAACTCACATTCATACATACACATACTAGGGACAATTTAGACAGGGTCCAGTTAACCTACCAGCATGTCTTTGGATTGTGGGAGGAGACTGGAGTACCCAGAGGAAACCCACGCAGGCACAGGGAGAACATGTAAACTCCAGGCAGGTGGTGCCGTGGTTGGGATTCGAACCAACAACCCTAGTACTGCCAGGCAGAAGTGCCAACTATTTAGCAAATGTGCTGCCCAGAATAGGTAAGTATACATCTTTCCTTTCATAGGGCGGCTAGAATAGGCTTAGAATGAGGGTGGGAGCAGGTTTGAGTACAGTTAGGATTTGGCTGAACGTCTACATTACATATTGTTTAAAGGATAAGTTCACCTTTCTGAACATGTTACATGTTGCATCCGTATTTAGGAAGTAACATTTCACATGTTCAGCATCCTCCCCCGATTCCCCCCTTCCCTGTAACAGTGCGGCTGTGCGGGCTACACCCACACAGCCACATCATTCATTCACAGAGTATTGCAAATGAATGAACTACAACTACCGTCAGCCATTGCGGCTGAGGGCTTGTAGTTCTCAGTGAACTACGAGGGTGCTGGTGAGCGCTCTTGTATGTCATTGATCTTCCTGGACTTCTGTAACTACCTGTCCAGATCAGAGGTACAGGCAGACAGCTTGACTGACAGTCTGCAAGAGCCTGACATTGCACCAACGATCTGCTGATCACAGGTGCAATAATAAATGCACATTTTTTTTTTTACCTGCAAAAAAAATGTACATTTACAGTCATGGCTGAAAAATATTTGCACAATGGCATTTCTGTCAGATAATGCACCACTTCACCAAGAAAAATTATACAATTGCAAATGTTTAGGCATTCCCATGTTTGTTTATATTGTTTGTATTGGTATAACACAAAAAGGGGATAAACAAAAAGTCAGATCTGACACATTCCACACAACTCCAAAAATGGACAAAATTATTGGCACCCTCAATTTAATATTTGGTAGCACAACTCTTGGAAAAAATAACTGAAATCAATCACTTCCTGTAACCATCAATGAGTTTCTTGCACCTCTCTACTGGAATGTTGGACCACTCTTCTTTAACCAACTGCTCCAGGTCTCTTAGACTGGAAGGGTTCCTTTCCTAGCTGCTGTTTTGGGATCTCTCCACAGGTGCTCTATGGAATTGATATCTGGACTCATTGCTGGCCAGTTCAGTACTCCTCAGTGCTTTGCCTGAAACAATTTCTGGGTGTTTTTTGACATGTGCTTTGGGTCATTGTCCTTCTGTAAGACCCATGACCTCTGACGGAGACCCAACTTTCTAACACTGGGCCCTACATTGCACCCTAGAATTCTTTGGTAGTCTTCTGATTTCATAATGCCATGCACATGGCCAAGACATCCAGTGCCTAAAACAGCAAAGCAACCCCGATACATCAGTGAACCTCCACCATGTTGTTTCTTTAAAGGCCTCATTTCTTTTTCTAAAAACAATAGAATGATGGGCTTTACCAAAAAGCTGTAATTTTATTTAGTCTGTCCACAACACATTCTCCCAAAAGGATTTTGGCTTCCACAGGTAAGTTGTGGCAAAAATCCAGTTTGGCTTTTTTATGATTCTGTGTCAGCGGTAGGGTCCTCCCACTTTTCATTCAGATAGCGACATATAGTGCAAGCTGACGTAGTTGTACCTTGTGCCTGAAGATCAGCTTAAATTAATTTGGAAGTTCTTTATCCACCATTTGAGCAATCCTTTGTTGCAATCTTTGATCAATTTTTCTCTTGCTCACATCCAGGGAGATTAGTTACAGTGCCATGGGCTGTAAACTTCTTGACAATGTTGCGCACAGTGGACACGGGAACGTTAGGATCTCTGGAGATGGACTTGAGATTGTCCATGCTTTTCCACAATATTTTGTTGTCAACTCCTAAGACAATTCTTTGCTTCTCTTTCTCTTCTCCATGCTCCATGTGGCACACAGAGACACACAACAAAAAGGTTGAGTCAAGTTTTCACCATTTTACCTGGTTTCCACTGTGATTTCTATATTGTCCTTACCTGTTAATTGATACAGGTGAGTTTAATTACAAATTACAGGAGCATCACAAACTTGGAATGCAGTTATTTCTTACAATTTTGAGAAGGTGCCAATAATTTTGTCCAGTCCATTTTTGGAGTTTTTGGTGGAATGTGTCTGATTTGGCTTTTTGTTTCTCCCTTTTTGGTGTCATACCAACACGAACAAAAGAAATAAACAGAATGCCTAAACATTTGTAATTTCAGCAATTTTATGGGCAAAGTGGTGCATTATCTGACAGAAATGTAGGGGTACCAATATTTTTAGCCATGACTGTATTATTTTATTTCAAAGGTGGCCTTTAAAAGTGTTTTTTTTTTTCCAGCCTCGCTAATGCTGCTGAAGTTCACTTTTATTCTGACAGCAATTGAACATTTGAGAAATACTGACTGTTATGCGAAGTCTTTCCAGTTTTATATGCATCAGATAAAATAAATCCCTTACTGACATTTAGTTATTAAACTTTCTTCAATCAGATTTTTGTGGGCAAAGGTAAGCAGTGCTTCAGTGAATGCACATCTGGTGGGCAATGTTATATGTTTGTTATTTAAGAAGTTCGGATCTTGTTGAAATCAAATTTCATTTAATAAATTGACAAAGGAGCCATTATTATGTGTGATAGTTTTGTCTGTGGACTCATGCATTGTATTACACGGCTCTCTGAATTCAGCTGACTGTTGGAAGAAGTATGAGTGTTTTATGTCCTCATGTATTGCTTGTCTTTTGTGTCTAGCTGGTGTATATTGGTTTCACTCCCGAGGCAGCTAAGGCAGCTCTCCAATTATTCCAAGGTAACACTGAACTGGCCGCTCAGATGTTGACTCACAACCTAGGAGTTCTCCCTCCTCAACTCCTGCAAGAGCTGGAAACCTCTTCATCAGCACCCGAGCCTAGCTCCTCGACCTCAGAATCTGCAGGTATCACATTGAGTTCTTTAAAGGGCAGGCTCCTTAGTTTGATTTAACCCCCTTTTCCAGGTTCTGGATCTTCAGCCATCTTGATTATCCAGGCTGGTATGATGTAAGTTCAGCACATACACATCCCAGTGTAAAGAGTTTGCAAGGAAGAAGGTAAGAATCCTTTATTGCAGAACAGACATAATGGGGGAGATTTACTAAAACTTATGCACACAGAATCTGATTTAGCTGTGCATGGTAGCCAATCAGATTCTAGCGTCAGCTTGTTCAATTACACTTTGACAATAAAACCTGGAAGCTGATTGGTTACTTTGCACAGCTACACCAGATTCTGTATGCTCCAGTTTTAGTAAATCTCCCCCAGTATGTCTCTTCTGCACTTAAAAAAAAAAAAAATTACCACTCGCATATTTTATATTTTTGTATTTCTACACTGCTCAAAATAATTAAAGGAACACTTTTTAACCAGAGTATAGCATCAAGTCAAGTAAACTCCTGGGATATTGATCTGGTCAGTTAAGTAGCAGAGAGGGTTGTTAATCTGTTTCAGCTGCTTTGGTGTTAATGAAATTAACAGGTGCACTAGATGGGCAACAATGAGACAACCCCCAAAATAGGAATGGTTTTACAGGTGGAGGTCACTGACATTTTTTTCACTACACGAATACGTGCCATCGCCAGAAGGTTTGCTGTGTCTCCCCCAGCACAGTCTCAAGAGCATGGAGGAGATTCCAGGAGACAGTCAGTTGCTCTAGGAGAGCTGGACAGGGTCGTAGAAGGTCCTTAACCCATCAGCAGGACCGGTATCTGCTCCTTTGTGCAAGGAGATAGAGGATGAGCACTGCCAGAGCCCTACAAATGACCTCCAGCAGGCCACTAGTGTGAATGTCTCTGACCAAACAATCAGAAACAGACTTCATGAGGGTGGCCTGAGAGCCCGACATCCTCTAGTGGGCCCTGTGCTCACTGCCCGGCACCATAGAGCTTGATTGGCATTTACCATTGAACACCAGAATTGTCAGGTCCGCCACTGGCGCCCTGTGCTTTTCACAGATGAGAACAGGTTCACCTTGAGCACATGTGACAGACGTGAAAGGGTCTGGAGAAGCCGTGGAGAACATTATGTTGTCTGTAACATCGTTCAGCATGACCAATTTTGGTGGTGGGTCAGTGATGATCTGGGGAGGCATATCCATGGAGGGACGCACAGACCTCTAGAGGTTAGACAATGGCACCCTGACTGCCATTAGGTATCAGGATGAAATCCTTGGACACATTGTCAGACCCTACATTGGTGCAGTGGGTCCTGGGTTCCTCCTTGTGTATGACAATGTCTGGCCTCATGTGGTGAGAGTATGCAGGCAGTTCCTGGAGGATGAAGGATTTGATACCATTGAATGGCCCCCACATTCGCCTGACCTAAATCCAATAGAACACTTCTGGGATATCATGTTTCAGTCAATCTGACACCACCAGGTTGCACCTCAGACTGTCTAGGAGCTCAGTGATGCCCTGGTCCAGATCTGGGAGGAAGTACCCCAGGACACCATCTGTTGTCTCATTAGGAGTATGCACACAAGCACATGGAGGCCATACGAACTACTGAGTACCATTTTGAGGTGCTACAATGAAATTTCAGCAAAATAGACTAGCCTGCTGCATCATTTTTTTCACTTTGATTTTCGGGGTGTCTTTTAATTCAGTCCTCTGTAGGTTGATCATTTTCATTTCCATCAAACGATGGGGCATCCTTACGTTCCTGAAACAATACCCAGTCCATATCAATATAGATATCCAGCATTATATTTTTCCCAATTAAGATCTGATGTGTTTTCAAAGTGTTGCTTTCCTTTTTTTGAGCAGTGTACTTTGTAAGTTGCACTTTATCCTGATTGTAAATCTAGGACTAATTTGATACCAACCTATTGCTGACATTTTTTTAAAAGCAGAACTAAACTCTCCCAATCAACATTAACTATTTTTTAATCCTCATGATGCCAGCCTTACGCCTAGTAAACACTATGAGAAAATCGGACGAATGATTGTGATTTTTTGCACACTATTCTCATATCAAATACAAGAGTGCTACTAAACATACAAAAATTCTGGGATGTTCCAGTACAACTTCCTGTGTAATCAGAAGTCATGTCATGTACGTGTGACCCCTCTGCACACAATTACCAAATTCTAGCAATAAGATTATTACTTCATTAGTGCTATTATACATATTTCTATCCTGAAAACTATACTTTTTTATAGGAGCATTTGCGTTGTAATCAAACATTGCATTTGTTGCCCTTTTTTTCCTTCTGGGTATTTTCATGTTTCCGAGCATGCACAGTCTTTGTCACTCAATTTTTTTTTTTTATGGATGAATACTGTACTGAGTAAACGAAAATCGTTCATTCTGTTGTCTTACAAGAAAAAAAAAATTCATACTTGTCCCTCCACATTATTTCACATGAACTGTCATGATCAGCTCTCAAAAGCTGTGTACTAACAAACAGATTATCGTTTTGTTTTTTTTTTCTTTGCCTGATTTTCTCATGGTGTGTACTAGGCATAAATATATTAAAAATTGATAATTAGGTATATTACATTAATTAATTTAAAGGTTTTGAACATTTCAGTTGCTTCATGGTTTCTGGCCTAGGCCAAAATGATGTCACACTTCCCAGGAGGGGAGCAGGGGCTCTCTCCGCTAACCTCACCCTCCTGCTTGCTTGCCTGAGCTAAGGGCAGATTGATTCCAGGAAGTAAATTCTACATGAATCATCTGTCCCTACTCAAGATGGCAGGGGGTGTTTTGTAGAGTGATTTCTCAATAAAATAAAGCATGGAAATATGGATGGATGAGTTTGTTTTAAATTCTAAAAATGGATTCATATTTTTTGTTATAGAATAAGAGGCAAATAAAAATATACAAAAAAGGAGGGATGATGCTTTTTATATATATATATATATATATGTATATGTGTGTGTGTATATAATATATATATATGCAGGGGAATGCTACTGGTTGTGGGCAGTAGTGGATAAAATAGACCACTTACTGGCAGAGAGGTGTTGTTAGACATCCATCCTTCTGCTGTATTTTCCATTAAAATCTGTTTTTGTAGTACTAGATACCTAGATTTGACTGCAGCATCTGGACAGTCCTGGGAACGCAGATGTAAACCGTTCATTGTCAGTGGGGACTTGTCTCGAGCACAAGGGAATTTCTGACAATAGGCTAGCAGGACCTGTCTCTGATCAGAGATGAAACCAGCTGTGTCCAAAGAATGAAAAGCTTTCATTTTAGTGCGTCTCTGTGCCCAGGGTTGGTTGGTTGGTTGGCGTTCTTGGATGTGTTTCAGATTGTGCATGTCCACTGGTCTGAGGTCAGGTGGACTCCTGGGGTGGAGGTGGCTCTTGACAGTTGATATTGCTTTCCCATTGAGGAGAATTCACTTTCTGGGAGAGCTTCAACAAAGTTTGTTACTATCCATCAATCTCTATATCAGGAAATAATGTCTCCTTTTTATGTATAATTGTTTTAGGGACAAGCTCATCAGGCAACATCAACACTGTTGAGCCAGACATCGACCCTGTGAAGGAGATCCTGGATGATATCCCTGAACACGAGGAGGACTATCTGGATTTAACATTAGAGGAGGAAGGACGCATTCTTGTTGAGTATGTTTCCTACCTAGAGAAGCTGTAGACTTTACTGAACTGCAGTAACTTTTATTTTTTTCTGCCATTAATAGCAACCAATCCAAATGTTTCTTTTGGTTTCTGACTGTGCTAGAAACATGGCAGGTGGAACCTGATTGGTTATAGTGGGCAGCACTGACATTTCTGCTTTTATACATGATATCTTTGTTGTCTTTTATAGCACTTTATACAGATGAGTTTGATTTAAATACTGGTACAAGTAATGTTGTGTTGTAAAAAAAAAAATGCTCAGCATTTTTTAGAGAGCAAAACAAATGTTAAGGGCAAATTTTGTGAAACAGCAGTGTTACTTGTGGAGAAATGATATATTTTTTTTTACAATTTGTCATTATTTAATAATAATGCAAAAACGTTATCAATCTTCTGTAAGTTCATATGCTCAGGTTGCATAAGTTAAAAATTTGACACCAGCAATTAAAATGTCAGATGTGTGGGAGATGTATCCATTTGTTTTGGATGGTGCAGATTTTTCCTCCTTGCAGCGACGTTGTATTTTGCACTAGTTCAAGCCGAAAAAAGCAACAATTTCTTACTGCTATACCATGAGTACATTTATCAGAAAATAACACACCTGTTTAAAAGTGCTCAACTTCATGCACCTTGTCATTGGGGCTTTGTACTCTAACCTGATCAAAACCTGATCCTGACCATTGTGGCTCATCAGCACCTTAGTGACCAATGATTTCCTTAGCTTTGACAGAATAATATTTGCAATATACCCATTTTAATGTTTCATCCAAAGTTTAATAAACACTGTTTTTTTCTACTTTTGTTGCCTGACCTGTTCAGGGTTTTCTATTTAGATAGGTATCAGTAATGACACATAGATGTTTCTGTAGTTGTAAAAGTGATATAAAACCCAAAAGCAAACCTGTATTATATTTCAGTCAGGGGCGGACTGACAACTCATCGGGCCCCTGGGAAATAGGGGATCATGGGGCCCCTCTGTCCTTGCCTACACTCAAACCACACCCAAAAAAGCCTATGAAAGGTACCAGGGGCATCTCATGGGGCCCCCTACTGGCCCTGGGCCCTCGGGCAGTGCCTGAGCGCTCGAATGGTCAGTCCGCCCCTGATTTCAGCTAACCTCTTTTTAGATCTGGTGGCTGCTTTTTGTTTTCTTTTTTAGGCTTTCTTTTCTTTATTTTCACCTGGTGATCCAGCCAGTAAGTTTTGTCAACAGACCAGTATTCCTGCACATGTAGCAGTTAGAGGGTTGAGAAAAATCATTTACCACTGACAGCTGCTTACAATGATCAGCTTTTATTTATGTACAAAAGAAAATAAAACTGTTTGCTGTAACTTCTTAAAAAGTGTGAGCTGGAGTTTGGCTTCAGTAGGTAGTGTATCGCAGCATGCATTCACACGAGCATTGCAACACAGTAGCTGGTGTCTGGTGCGGTCTGGCCGAATCACCGCAGTGTTGCATCACACTGTTCACCTTTACCTTTTTTTTTTTTTCTTTTCGGTTGCACAGAAGTGTCTTAAATTGGCCATCATGCAGTGGAAGTCAGTGGATTGCCTTGCATTGCGCTGCTCTGAAAAAAAGCACTGTATGCAGCACTTTTATTTTCAGCACACACCACTGCAACACAGTAGTATGAACTGGGCAGATAAGAAGACAAGGCATTTTGCCTTGTCATGCGGTGGGACTGCACTGTAATGCAGTCCCACCACTTGCGGTGTGAATGTACCCTTAATCGGCTAGTACAAATAACACTTCCTTACCCATAGACTGACAGTCCTGCTTTGCAAAGGTGCCCCCTGTGTTCCTTCATCCAGAGTGGAGGCGCTCTAATACAGGAGGTGTGGTGTTGGCCAGATGACCTGGCGAAAACAGAGGGGAAAAAAACCTTAAAAAGAAAACGAATGTAGCCACCACAGCTAAAGATTGGTAATGTGCAATATGTCAAATTTTTGGTTCTGGATTTAACACTGCTTTGAACTTCCATAACATAGGTGCCCATGTGTTTCCAATTTAATCTGGTCATATAATTTGAAAAACATTCGTAGGTATTATGAGATCTAAGATAAACCTAATTTTTTGTTCAGTGGGGTTGCAGTGCATGTTAGTTTATTATTTTTTAATGTGATCTTCTGTTGGTTATCGTCTGCTTAAAAGTCTAGCAAAGAGCGGAGAAGAAGCGCTTCTAAGTGCAGTATAGGCAACTTTAATGAATAACAACTCACATATTGCATGATAAAAGCAAGCTCAAAAAGATGGGAGGATGGCTGTGTCCATGCTGTGTCAGCCGCGTCTGTACTTGGAAGACCGTGGATGTAGGAAAGAGCCGGCCGGCGTGTGTAGTCTTTTAGAGATGGCGTCTGGAACGCACATTGAGGCGCAACGTCACGTGATGATGTGCGTGAACCAGCATGCATAGCGACCCATTTCAGAGCATGTGCTAGACCTCTAAGGGCGGAAGTGCGCCCCCTTGTCAAGCTAACTTAGCTTAACAAGGGAGCATGCTTCCGCCCTTAGAGGTCTAGCACATGCTCTGAAACACGGCGCTATGCATGTTGGTCCACACACCTCATCACGCTGACGCCATGTCGCGCCTCAATTCTCTTTCCTACTTCCACGGTCTTCCAAGTGCTGATGCAGCTGACACAGCATGGACACAGCCGTCCTCCCATCTTTTTGAGCTTGCTTTTATCATGCAATATGTGAGTTGTTATTCATTAAAGTTACCTATACTGCACTTAGAAGCGCTTCTTCTCTTCTCTATTCTATACAGAGTTTTGCTACTACTACTACTACATGAGGCTTGCCCTAGTGCTATTATATGGACTCTTGTAGCCATACATTGAACTTTTGGACTCTTTTACAATTCTTAATAGCTGGGTGGTAGCACTTTGCGCTGATTGCTAGTCTGTAAAACAAGAAACTCAATTTGAGAACAAACACTTGTTTTGCAGTTTCTAAAGAAAAGGTTTTTAAATACCAAAATCAGATTCAGATCGTATATGGAAAAAAAATTATATCTGTGTATATGGACAGACTTAGGGTGGGGACCCCCATACTGCTGGCCATTACTAGATGAGGAATTGGCTCTATGCTTTGTAACAGTAGAACATTTTTTTTAGAATTAAAGACCAAGATCTGCTATTTTAAAATGGCGATAAGCACATTTTTTTGTATTAGTTCTTTGACTTTCAAATTCACCCCTTTGTGTTCTTTAATTAAAATTGTGCTGTATTGTTGGCTTTAAAGACATGGGCTATTTCTGTAGTTATGCCCGAGTTTTGGTCACTGAAGCCAAATGTTATGCCATTTCTAAACCATTATCAATAAAATATTCTACTATACAAAATATAGTAATCTAAGAATCTTTTAGATATGTTTATTGTGCACAAAATTCAGTGCCATGTACACCATTTCATCAGCAGTTCTATGGGGTCTACCTGTACAATCTAGTTCATCCTACAAGATCCCCATAAGATATTTGAGATAATTGGTGCACAATATGGAATAAGGAGATCTCCAATCTGATTGCTATGGGTGCAGTAAACTTTGTTTCTAGGTTATTAACGATGGACGTGTGATATAGATAAATAGATGCATCTCTAATTATACAATGGTCGTATAGCACTTTAAATGTGAAAAAGTCCATATAGATTCCCAAATGGATAGAAGTAGGTGCATAAGAGGAAAGATTCGATCCAAACAAATTGGCCTCTTACCTGAAAGTTTGACCACAAAACGTCGGTCAGCATGAGCAGTATGGCATATCCTCAAATGCAGCAGTGGATCGTCAATAGAAATCCCCTCCAGAATAATAAGTAACTTCTTCAACTTCAATAAACCTCCAAATAGCAGAATCTCCTATCTCATCCACAGGAGGTTTGAAATCTTGTCAGTCTGTGTGGATTTTTAAAATGGTTTTCAGATACCTGGATACTTGGCTGTTTTAATAGACGCTGTAATGTGTGGTTACACACACTCGCTTTTTACTGATTACTGCCCTTCCAGCATGTGGTGCAGGATCACCATGCTCTCATCTCAACATTCCATACCAGACGTTTCCTCCATGGATCCAGGCTTAGGAACAACCTCAATATAACCAGACTGATTTGTAAAAATGAGAACAAAAATGTATAAAGAATTGACGCTGAAGCAGCCATGTTGAGATTGTATCCAGGGATGGTGTTGTATTCAGTACACGTGTGGATTATGCTACCGGATACAAGATCTGAAGCCTCCATGTATCCCTTCTCAGTATTTACTACTCCTACAGAACTCAGAGTGCTTCCTCAGTCCTTTATAATGACTGGTAAAGAGAACCTGTCTCTGTCAGAATATCTCATCTCCTGCTATTACATAGACTGCTAGACAGGGTGAAATAAGGTCCTGTTTCTGCATATCTGCATCCCAAAATGCTTTTGTGTTATTGCATATTGGGGAGTATGGGAAAGCAAACTTCACATGGGATCCTGAGTGCAGTGGTTTCCATGCTGGGACGCCAGGTCTTCAGAAGTCTCGGGGAATAAGGTGATGACATTTTCTGGAGCTGCTTACCATAACTGTACATTTATTTGAGGCATTTATTGGATGGTTCCTCTTATGCAGTTAGGCCGAGGTTCTTCCTTTGCATTGGTGATCCAAAATTGTACAGATATATAGGTACCTTTTTATGTCAGCTAAAGCATTCTGAAATGACAGCTGCATCCATCATTGAGGTCATCGAGAACACATGTGAAAATGCTAAGAAATGTGCTGCTTCTTTCCCATCTTCTGGCCTCTATGTATGATCTCCAACCTACCTGCCCTGATTTTTGAGCTTCAGGTGAACATACAGTAGGTGTATTAAATCAACCTACTGCTTCTTCTGTTTGTGGCTCTGCATTCCCACTCCACTTCATGGCCACTGCTTGGCTCTCAGCAGCTGCTGGATTTTTCCTTATGTTCCAGCAGAAAGAGGGAAATTCCAAGCTTGGTGTCCAAAAAAGTGAAAATATCAGTTTTGGATGTATATAACCTATGGG